CATTTGTCTTGCGTGATTGTGTCAATGGAATGAAGTATTGGGAGGCAGGATGTTATTTGGATCCAAGGACCAAGGCCGACAATTACAGTAACGGAACGATGGGGTATACCTGTCTATGCGAGTGGGTTTTTGGGTTAAACGGTCTGGATAGCTTTCCCTATCCCGCTCGCGCCTCTCTCGTTTCTCTTTCTCTCTCTCTCTCTCTCTCTCGCTCTCTCTTTCTCTCTCTCTCGCCTCTCTCTAGCCATATCTCTAGGACTCCATGAGGCTCAACCTCGCTAACGAGAGAGAAAGGAGATAGACAAAAAGAAAGAAAAATGGAGAGAAACAGAGAAAGAGAGGGAGAGAGAGGGATAGAAAGAGAGAGAGGGAGAGAGAGAGAGAGAGAGAAAGTGAGAGAGAGAGAAAGAGAGAGAGGGCGGAAGTGATAGAGAGCGAGAGCGAGATAGAGACACATAAATTGAGAGATCAAGATATATTTTAGCACCGACCTCTGCAATGTCGAAGAACCAAAAGTCGACCCCGACGGTGCTTCCTATAAGTTCACCTGGAGGTCGAAGCCAATTCCATTAATCGTCAGAGCACCTATCGACTGTTACGAGGTATCTATTGCGCATTAATGGCAAAATACTCACGATGTTTCAGGCTAGTATCACCGGTGCTAGCCCGAACGAAACTAGAAACTACAACACAACCAGGCGGGCGACGTCCACTTGTCAATTTTACGCGACCGGCAGGGTATGTTTCTCCCCGAGCTATTGCTTTGCTTAGGCTCCAGCTCATGCTCGTGCTCAGGCTCAGAATCGGTACATTTCATTTCAGCCGCAAGCCTCAGATTCTATCGGCGAACCTCTGGCGCTAAGCCAAGTCAGCGGCGAGTTGAATCGAGTCTACGGTAGTGGCGGGATCCTGTCGATCGAGGATTTGGAGACTGACCTCAACTTTCCGTAATTTAGCGTAGAAAGATAAGAATACCGCATTTTATTAAGGTTCTACAACGGCGGGGTATACTTGGTGCAGGGGTCCTTTTCTTATGCTACGCTGACGCTGAATTGTGATTGGGTGAGTTTAAGAATAGTCTTTTCGATATCTGCTCTCTCTATCTCTCTCTCTTTCTCTCCCTCTCAGCTTATTTTTAAAGTCCAGCCTCTCTGCAATCGTGTCAACATCTCGGAAATGCCCCCATCAACCGTCAGCTGCCATGCAGGAACGATTGGCGGATGGAATGGGGGTATGAGTTGTATATTTATTCACTACAACATGACATATGGAAAAGAAAAGGGGGAGAGAGAGAGAGAGAGAGAGAGAGAGAGAGAGAGAGCAGGGCATCGAAAAATCGGATTCTTCAGTTCTTCATCCAAAGTCTGACCAACAGTGGTGCGCAAAGCGAGATTAGCACGGAGGTGCCTGAAAGTCTCTGGGTTTCAAAGGCCAGAAGGTATTGGGGAAACTGGCTATGGTAGCCCTTAAAAGTTTACCCGTGGCACTGCACCCAAACGATTGATAGATGCCGGCTTTTGGGGTTGTGTCGTCGCAATCATCTCCGGTTTGTTGCATGAAACTTTTCCTGAAAACCGGAAGCCAATCTTAGAAGGGAAATATTGAATGCTTAGGCTTAGTCTTCGGCTCGGATAGGCGAAAAAATCTGCTTTGCGTCGGCTGCGTTAGGCTTGCGCCTAAGCCCCGGCCTAGCTTACAGGCTTAAGAGAGACTAGGAATGCAGAGTCACATACCCCAAGACGACGGCAACCAGCAACAAAATCAGAAAAGCTGTGGACTGCATCGTGACTTGACCGGATCTGCGGAAATTTCCGGACTTTCCTAGACCCCGGGACACTTTTTATATCGCGCTTGATCTGAATTTTATGGTGAGGCCAAAAACGTCAGAGGACGATCAAAAAGGACGCAAAACATTTGGATTGAGTGTTTGTTCTATGGACGACGGTGCCGGGATCATAAAAAAGTGGCCAATAACGCGTCCGGGCTGGTCCGAAAGTACGGATCCCCCGTAGTGAGTTCGAGGCTCGTAGCGCGGCAGAGCATCTTCAGGTATGGATTAGACTTTAACAAAAATGTAGGGTGGCTGGGATAGGACCGGCATTGGCTTAAAGTTAGGCAAAGTCCAATTCTATCTAATAAATTTGAGCATTTCGTGGAAAAACCGGTGGAAATGTTGCACTTTCTCTTTTTTCTCTCTCTCTCTCTCTCTCTCTCTCTCTCTCTCCTCTCATACACACTCTTCTCTCTCTAACGCATTTTTCTCTGTATATCTCTATTTCTCTCTCCTTCTCTCTTGGTCTCTCTTGGTTTCTCTGTCTCTTTGTCTCTATGCCTTCTCACTCTCTCGCTCTCTCTCGTTATCTCGCCATATATTGCTCGATTCTCCGTAATGTGCGTCGAAAACCTTTCTCATTGTTTTTATTTATTAGTGCGCAACAGTTATGGGTCAAATCGTAATCACATACAGGGTGGCCCAAAAAAAAACCCCCCCTACCTAGCGGTCCGCAGTCAAGTCCGATTTTTATGATTTAACTACCCATCGATAGCTCTCGAAAAGGCGAGAAAACAAGCGGGTCTCGTTTTCTAAGATTTAAACTAATCCCATCGATATTTAATGTTTTTCTAAAAAACTGGTACTTTTTCAACAGGAATTTCGCAATTAGCATGCAGATCCTGCACAAATTAGCAGTTTTCAGGGTTTTTGGACGTAAAATTAGCGAATAAAAATGCATAATCAAGAAAATGAACCCTCCTTGTTTTCTCGCCTTTTCGAGAGCTTTCGATAGATACCTAAATCGTAAAAATCGGAATCGACTGCGGACCGCTAGGTAGGGGGGTTTTTTTTGGGACACCCTGTAGTAGAGGAAAAAGAAATTACACAATGCAATTCAATTCCTCATCCATAGCTTGACCAGCGCAAATGTGCAGAGGGATAGCAGAATGGAGGTGCCTGAAATTTACTTTTCTCTTTCATTTATTATTTACTTTTTATGCCTAAAATAACTGCGTACAAATACCGAAAAGAAGCTTACAATTAACTTAATATTCCGGCAAACTCATGGCCGATGGCATTTTGTGCTATTTTTCCCGAAAAAATACGCTCCAGCAACCGACCCGTGGCACTGCAGTCTTCCTGTTTGACATGAATACCGTTATTATCAGTGATATTCACCCAGCATTTGCCTCCCGGATGTATGATCACGTCCCTGAAGGAATTTACATCATTTCGAAGTTTTTCAACGTCATGGTTTTTATTTGTTGGTGCTAATTGAAGCTCGGTAATTTTTGGATTGAGCCTGTGCCTAAGCCTAAGAATGAGCCTACGCCTAAAACTCAACGATGAAGCCCATGCTCGGCATAAGGCTTACCCCACAGCAACAGCGACTAGCAGCATAATGAAAAAGGCCGTGATTTGCATCTTAAAATGGTCGCTTTGTAGAGCAAAAAGGGCTTTCCCCCCGTGGTATCTTCGCGTTTTATACATGCTAGAAAAGATAATGTTTCACGACGTCCATGGAGGACGAGTGAAAAAGTGTTTGCTCAACTGGAGAGATCATAAAATCGCCGATACGGCGAGTTCAGGGTGTTCAGAAAGTCCGGATTTCGCGCTTTATCTCCACCGCTGCCTCATTCGATCTCTCTGACTCTCGCTCTCCATCTCTCTCTCTCTCCAGCTCTCCCTCGCTCTCTCTCTCTATGGTCTTTACCTCTTTGGTATGGCATACTTTTTAGTAACAGAAAACACTTGCACTGGTCATCTGTGTTTCTTCAGCGAAGCTCGAGTAAGTTAGCGTTAGCGGTAGCGTGACCACTTTTTAGCACAGAGCTGCGGTGGCGTCGGTACAATACAGGGGATGTTTATGGCAAGACGATAGGAAGGCGATTGGAAGGATTGAGGTAAGAGAGAGAGAGAGAGGGGGGAGAGAGAGAATAGAGAGAGAGGGACAGATATTTCCAGGTCGGCGTGTACACAATGGCTTGGCGTACCCTGTACTGCACAGAGGATTACTGTAATTTTAATGTGACCTCAGCTGAAGAATCCGTCAATGCGTATATTCCGGTTCTCCCTAAGTTCAAGCCATATTCTGAAGCGATTAAGAGTCGGCAAAAAGTAGGAAATTCGGGCTTTCACCTAGAATTCACAAGTTTAGGCCGGAAAGACAATAAAATCCAACGTCACTGATGAAATTATTTGGGAAGTTTCGAATGTTACTTTGCCTCCAGTGGTCGTTATTGATGTTGGTGCGGGCATCGGTGATGGTGGCGCGGTCTTGATTGGAGGAGGGGTTGGGGTAAGTTGAAAATTATCATTATCCAGACAGCGAGAGGGAGGAAGTGAGAGAAAGAGAGACTGGGAGGGAAGGTGCGAGAGATGATGAAAAAGGAAGCCTGGGTTTAGGTTACGTAAATAGTATTTACGATAGTTACGGTACTATCGTAAAAATTCTCAATTTCAGTCCATCGACCCGACGGCAATACCACCGAACGATATACGGCATCACGATTCCGGGCGTTCCACCGGGCTCCGGAGGGAAAATTGGAACAAAAACGACTGTAACAATTCTGTTGTCGATTCTTCTATATTTTCTTAAATGAATTATTAATATTTATTTTGGAGAAAATGCGGTTTTCATTGTTTTTTTTCTTTTGTAGGGACGAGAGCAAGACAGCGAGTGAGAAAGAACGGGAGACCGAGGGATAGAGAGTGAGAGAAGGGGAGAGACAGAGAGAGAGGGAGAGCGAGAGAGAGAGAGGGCGAGGGGGAGAGAGAGAGAGATAGAGAGAGAGATAGATAGACAGAAAAGGCGAGAGCAAGGGCGAGAGGGACAAATAAAGTGAGAAAAAGGGAAAGGAAACGAGAGAACTGATTCAAGGTACGACTCAGCAGGCTTATTTCGCATAAAAATTAGCATAAATTGGCATAATAATCAGGGGATCTGGTTTTACTATTAAACGCCTCCATTCTGTCTTTTCCCCCCTATCACCCGGCTTTACATTCGATGCTGCGCCTCCTGGGGCTCGTCCTCAGCTCCTCGCTATGGTCATCAACATCCGCTGCTGATCTGCCCGTAAATGCTGAAACTTCTAGCAATTTACATCCCAATTCCAGTACTGCGCATTCAAGCAGGAGCCGCCCGGGTGCAAGCTGCAGTTCCTGTGCAAGAACAGGTATTGTCGTCCCCTCCCAACGATTTCAAAGTGTTCAGTATTGATAGCAACTGCGTCAAGGAGTGCAACTACACCGGATTCGGGGCCAACTACGCCGACTGCATCTTTCTCGACATGGCCATGACACATCAGGGCGTGGTGAAGGCTTTCTACGCGTACAGAGATGGGGTGAGAGAGAGAGAAAGAGAGAGAGAGAGAGAGATAGAGAGAGAAAGAGAGAGAGAAATGACGCTTCAGAAGGCACCTTACGGCACCCCGATGAGCCGCGCGGATAACCTGGCGATGAGAAGAGGGTTCCATGACTTTGAGCACAGGGTGTACCCAAAATGCGTCCAGGCCGACCACTTGATGACGGTTTGTTCAGATGAACAAGTCTACGCCTAAGCCTAAGCCTAAGCCTCTCTAAGCCTATGCCTAAGTCTATCCGAAGCCTAACCCGAACCTAGACCACGCTTTTCTAGCGTCGCCAACGCCTCTACGTGAAAACGGACATGCTGCTGAACTGCAAGACAAACCCCTTCTATCTCCGCTACCCGATCCCGGAGATGATGGTCATCCCCGACGAGTGCACCCCTGAGCACGACCTCGAAAAAGTACGAACTTGCCCGCTCGTTGGCCATCTTTTTCGGGCTTTATTTGTCTTTCGATCGATCCCCCTCTCTCTCTCTCTCTCTCTCTCTCTTTCTCCGTCTTTCTATCTATCTCTTTATCCCTCCTTTTCAGATCCTCTGCACCCGATACGTCCCCCCGCTTGAGACCCAGAACTTTTGTAGTTTTTCGAATTCATTCATATTCTCGGTACTTCCAGTGAACCTCCTCGAACTCGTCGGCGGCGCTGCGCTCACCGGCCTCATCGTCGGCATCGTTGTTGCTTTCATCGTCAAACGGACACGCGCCTACTACTGGCGCCTGGAGCAGTGTGTGCTGTCATGGCCCCTTTAACTTCCACTCCAGCTCACCCGCCAAGCCCGGAAAGTCCGTGCTGTACTCGGAGCAACCCGCCAGCGCTGCCGCCTCGACAACCAGTAACGCGGAGAGGAGTGCCGCCGACACGAGCACGTTCACCCCGGCTAACACGCCGGACCCGGTAAGACTCTTTGCTGGTTCGATACAGCTATATCCTCAAGAATCTCTGCTAATCACCCTTCTAGGCAAAAACCGTCGACGATGTGTCCGTCGACACCGTGGAGGCCGCGGAGCCCAAGACGAAAAGTGACAGGGAGGGGCCGGCTCCCCCGGAAGCAGCCAACGCGGTACTCTTTGATACCTTTACGACGCCTTTAACGCAGCGGCTAAAATCCCCCCAGCCATTCCGTCCGCGTCCCTTTAAATCATCGTCTCTTTTCTAGACGGGCCAGCCCGCCAACAAGAAGGCGGCCAAACGGCGCTCGGACCCTAAGGTCGGCTCGAAGAATGAGAAGAGGAAGAAAAAGTCGTGCCCCACCGAAAACACGCCGCCAAAGCCGAGGGCTCGACTTGGCAACCGGGCCGACGTGTTGGCCGCACAGGCTGGGATAGAACTCTCTAACGATCAGGCTTTCTCGCTCCCTTTCTCTCTCTCCCCCTCTTCCTCTCTCGCACACTCGTCCTCTATCGCTCTCCCTCTGTCTGTTTCTATTGCTCTGTTAGTCTCTGTCGCTCTCGCCATGTCCCTTCAACTTCGCTGTGCCGCTCTCTCTCCGCTTTCTGTATGATTATTGGACTCTCGTTCTCACTTCTACCAATCTCTCTCTCTCTCTCTCTCTCTCTCTCTCTCCTCGCTCTATCTCTCTGATTCGCTCTTTCTTTCTCTCTCTCTCTCTCTCTCTCTCTCTCTCTCTCTCTCCCACACTTTGGATTTTTTTGAAAAATTATGGACGACGTCCCGAAAATACACCGTCCGGAAGTCTTCTTGGTTTTGGTTCGTTAGCGGGGGGATCTATCCCTGGCGGCTGCTAATAGCCCCCCGCTAATGAACCAGTACCAACTTTTTTCTTGATCTGTTTTTCGGGACGGTGTCCATCTAGCTTCTATCCGTATCACATCTCCACACTATTTTCCTTTTCCAGGAACGTGTCCTAGACGAAGTGCCATCGGACCACAGCAAAGAAGAGTCGAAGAGTCGAGCTGAGTAGTACCGAGTGCCGGCTGGATGCTCCGGCGACAAGCTACAACCACAAGTCCAACCACATTCCAGCAAAAAGACTATGAAATCGCCAAATCTCACATTATTTTTGCATGGCTATGCCGGATGTGAATAAAGAGCTTTGCGAGAATCGGAGAGGGAAAGAGAGACATAGAGAGAGAGAGAAAGAGAGTGATAGAGGGAGAGAGAAAAAAGAAAAAGAGCAATAGAACTCGAAGATTAGCTGGCGGCTCATGCGGCCTTTCCGGGAAACGAGAAAAAAAAGTGAACACTTCGAAAAAGCCTAGCACCTACACCAGGGACGAACAAACTTTAAAAAATTCCTTCATCTTTTATCGTGCTAAAACCTTCATGGAGGTTAAATAAACACAAAAAAGGAAAAGTTTGTCGTGGCACGAGAATGCAAAGAGGAACGTTAAGACCAAAAAACAAAAATTAAAAATCGTGAGCAGGTCCCACCCCCGTTAGATTCCCCAGAGGCCGCGCACTTCGCCACTAGGCCACCAGATGGAGGGGCTTATGAAGGCAGGTCAAAAACTTTAAAGCCCTGCAACTTTGTTGTATTACAGTATCCGTAGGTAAAAGTTACTTCAATCGATTCGTCTCGTCGAGATCTACAAAAAGAGCGAACTTGCAACAAGAAATTCGATGAGTGAAGACTGCTCCCTAGTAAGCGGCAGCGAATTTATCCACAAGATTCGAATTTTTAATTTTTTTTTTTTTTTAAAAAATTTTTTTTAAAAAAAAAAAAAAAAACCCCCGAAAAATTTTTTTTTAAAAAAAAAAATTCCCCCCTTCTTTTTTTTTTTTTTTTACTTTTTTGGACCCCCGCCCCCTCCTCGTCATGACAAACAATTGAGCGGTATTTTAACATGCAAATTTTGGCTTGATTTTAACGAATTAATCAATGGCATGGCGCCCCATTGGATCGACAGCATATGCAAAGACATCGATAGGTCTTGAGGGGTGCGTCAAGAGGAATTGCACGTTGCCCTTGTTTTCCAGGACTGATTGGGCGTGCTCTTCGATGAGTTGGTGCCTGAAAATGTTCAAACTTGACTTTACGAAGAGGCAAACTTGCTGAGATCATTGAGGAAAGTGCTCTTGGGTGAGGAAGGTTGGCCTAAATAGATGCACCCTGAGCAAACTAGCAGAGATTTTTGAAGAATAAACGATTTAGGCTAAGGCAAGCTAGCAGATTTCCTTGAGGAACGAGATTCGATGCCGGCAAGCTAGCAAAGCTTCTTGAGGAAAAAAGGTCAACCTAAGACAAACTAGCAGATATCCTTACGGAACCGAGACCAGACAAAGGCAAGCCAGCAGAGCTTCTTGAGGGGCGCAGGCTGATGTTGGTAAGCTAGCAGCGTTTCTTAAGCAAAAAAGACTAGACAAAGGCAATCTAGCAGAGTTCCTTTGGGAACCAAACCCAGGTTAGAGGCAAACGAGAAGTGATCCTTGATAAATTTAACTCCAAACCTGGCCATTATCGCCCGCATATCCCAGTGGCTGAACGGCGGCAGCCGCGGGTTGTCGAGCAGCACAAACGCGGTCTCCATAAAGTACGAGAAGAACGTGTTCAACTGCTCGGATTCGGATTTCTAGGACGCGGGCTGATTACCGTAACCCTCGCTTACCTTGGCAATCTGGTTATGCTTTGGTTGGAAAGCTCGGCGGCAATATTCCAGGAGGTCGGACTGGTCGAAAGCCCGGGGAAAGGAGGCGAGGAACGGGTCGTAGAGGAGTTCTGGAAAGTTGGGTTTAGTTACCTAGTTGGAGATAAATTGATATCTTGGAGCTATGGGAGCTGGGAGCAAGGAGCTACAACTTATTTCTCAGTCCTCTTAACGTACCTGAGGTATCGCGACGTTCCCGGTCTCTTAATAGAGCTTCTCCGAGCCGTCTACGGTAGAAGAACGTCAGCCGGGCGAACTGTGGGGGTAGGAGCAGGACGTCGGGAAGGGAGCTGAAAGGTATAGGTATGCTCCCAGTCTCTCTCGAAGCCTACGCCTACGCCTAAGCAAAGTCAATTTCCTTACTCCACATACGGCACCAAGTCCATTGGCACGTCGGTGACCCTGAAGACGATTTGACTCCCCGTACGGATCCCTGAAAATTGAGGTTGAAAAACTACAGTAATCCTCGCACCTGGCCCGTTCCGGTTGAAAACATTCTCACGGAGCATTATTTCTGTATAGGTGCTAAAAAAGAAGATATAAAAATTTACCAATAGTCAATTACCGATTAGCCAATCTGGTGCCATTAACTTGGTTGTAGATGAGGGGCACTTTGGCGACGCCGACAGATATCTCTTCGGGGTGGCCTGTTGACTGAAAAGGTAGAAATAAGAGTGAAAGAGAGAGAGAGAGAGAGAGAGAGAGAGAGAGAGAGGGAGAGAGAGGGAAAGAGAGAGTGAGCAAGAGAGAGAGAGAGAGAGCGAGAGCGAGAACTCCTACCTCATTGTCCTCAATTATCGAAGCCTCAATCAACAGTGCAACCTCTGGAGATTTATAATTCGAACGAACGATCACGTCCGAGAAATGGAAAATATCGTGAGAGCCGTCTTGCTGCAAATATCGTTAAAAATATGGATTTAGAACCAAAAATCTTAAAAAAAAGGTAAAGGGCAACTCACCCGATTCGAGAAAGTCCAAGTCCCATTTTTGTTGCTCGCCATGATGGTGTGAACGTTGCTTACCTAGAAAAAGATGTCCTGCACATCTCTCTCTCTCTCTCTCTCTCTCTCTCTCTCTCTATCGCTCTCCGCTTACAATCTGCCTGCCCGTCGTCTTCGACAAGTCGATGAGGGCGATCCGGACGAGATGAGCTTTTGAAGGACGTTTCTCCATTCCATCTATACGAACGAGTCGCACCAGCTTGACGACGGATACCTCACGTTTTTGGAGCTGGAGATGGAATTTGGTTCTCTCCTATCTCCCTATCACTCTCTCTCCCTCTCTCTTTCATCGCGCTCTCTCTATCATTCCTCTCTCTCTCCCTCTTTCTCTTTCTCTCTCTCTCTCTCTCTCTCTCTCTCTCACCTTATCCGCCTCAAAATTCCAATAGATGTCGTGAAAAGCGAGGTTGGAGCGGCTGAGTCGAGGCGCTAAGTGGCAGCTGCCTGTCAGGTGAACGTCTTGGGCAAGTGCTTCGCCCAGACAGCTCGGCTTGCCAGGAGCGGGCTTAAAGATGCTCATTAGTGGAAGAGCCAGAGAGAGAGAGAGAGAGAGAGAGAGAGAGAGATGGGGAAAGATATGCAGAGAGAGACCATAAAAAACCTACGATCTGAATTTTTGGTACACCGACAGGCCGCACTGGTTGACGTTGCGGCACTGGATCAGGTTCGGGCGGTGGATTTAGCTGCAAAAATAATTAAATAAGGAAATCTAGAGAATTTTTCGCTTTTTTTTTTACGCCAAAAAAAATCTGTGCTTAAATTTTTACGGAATTTGATTTATGATTTTGCTAAATCACAAAAACTCACATTTCGCACCGCTAAATGCTCACTAGGCCCGACATCCGTCGGATCGAAATGTTTTAGGAAGGTCTTCGGAACATTCCCAACAAAGCCAAGGGTATTAACGGCTTTCCACCAGCCATCAGCCCTAAAAATGGCTAGATTCAGGCGCCGCCTCCCTACCGTAACTCCAGAATCTTCAACAGATCGCCCTTTTTGATCGCCAAATCTCCTTCTTCATCGCCGGTCCAGTCAGCCAAGGCCTAAATAAAATGCATTTTTGTATATTTGGATCAATTTCCAAATTCAAATCTTCCAATTTTTTTAGTTTTTAATAATTAAAAAATAGATAATAATGAAATTACAATAAATCGGTTGTGGTCGACGGTCGTGTCGCTTCTGGAGGCGATCGTGGCTAGAGTTGTAGTGGCCGGAGGAGCTAGAAAAGAATAGTCTCTCTCTCTCTCTCTCTCTCTCTCTCTCTCCCTCTCTCTCTCTCTCCTACCTGGTGTCCCTTGTACCACCCCGGAATCGGCGCTCGACCTATCGCTGTCCTCCTCGCTCATCACTTGGCTGAGGGTCCGGTTTTGGAGTTGAGCTAAAAATAGGTGTTTACGAAAATTTACTGTATTAAATCTAATGTATTTGGAATAGCGGACGGACTACCTGTCGTCCTCTGAACTTGAGCTCCAGGCTGAGTTGGTTGCGGAACAGCAGCCTCCGGTTCGGTATCTACCTCGTTTTCTACCATTTCCTCTGAGGTTGAGCTCTAAAACGAGCTTCCTTAAGTGTCTTTGCTAGTTAGCCTCGGGGAGGTGTAATTGAAAGACTATTTCCCAAGGATTCTCAGCTAGCTTGCCCAGCTCGAGCTCCAGCTCGTGCTCAAAAGGAATTCTTGCCAACTTAGGGTCGTGAAAAAAGGCGCACGAGAAATTAGAGCCTAAAAGCCACCCACCTCATTATCATACATTATACTAGCCCTTCTTCTAGCGGCCAGCATCTTGTCGGGGTTGGTGTTGTTGTTTTGGTTGTTGTTGATCACCGGACTTGGGGATAGGCTAAATTTTCATCATTTTTTCGCTTTCAGTTACCTTTAAAAGATTATCTGCAAATTTTTACCGACCACGACTTACCGGTATTCTTCTGGAACTTTTTGCTCGACCGTCGCATCCGCTTGCCCTGACAAGACGTCGATTTTGGCCTGAAAAATTTGGCTTAAAAACCTGAAGCTGTCAGACAAGCTACAAGCAAGCTAAAGAAGCTCAATAAGCGTAAATATCTGTTTAATGGCCCTGAAGGAGATGTACCTGAAGCTGAGAGATTCGCTCCAACACACGTTCCTTCGCTACGATATATCCAAAATCGACCTTCCGAATCGCTTCTACCTTTTGGCGATGCGCGTCAAGCTGTTTTCTGAAGGGTTTAGCTAGAGAGAGAGAGAGAGAGAGAGAGAGAGGGAGATAGATGCGAAAAGCTACTTACCCCAATTCAGCAGCTCTCTTTTTTATTGGCGTTCTAGGGCGGCCGCCAGATGCCGCTTCCGCTTCAAGCTTGGCAACCTGAATTAAATTGATACCGAATTCTAAACCCCATCCGAATCGCAAAAAACTCAGGCATAAACCTAAGCCTAAGCTTAAGCCAAAACTAAGCCTAAGCCAAGGCCTAACCCGAAGCCTAACCTAAGCCTAAGCCTGACGGTAAAATGACACTTTTTAAAGCTGGTTTCTAGTCCCGATTTCCAGTTAAATTTAAGCTTAACAATCCAATAATCAAAAATTGTATCAAGATCCCACCTGGGTAGCAAACTGGGCGGTCCTCTTGTGGAAGTCGTCGAGAGACAGGATGCGGCCATAGGGGGGCATTCAAAGGGCTGCCGGAGACGGCAAGAGAAAAAGAGGATTTCCACTCTGTTTCTCTCCCTCTCCGCGCACCTTTGTGAAATCGAGGGTGAGGGTGTCGTCATGGAGACGCCCCCTAGCGGCTGCTCGCGCCCCGCGCGCGATTCCACTACTTCGGCCACCTGGCCCCTAGACAGTGGATGGCTAATTGGTGGTTGACACGGGATTATAGGCAATATTGGGCGTTGGGTTGCTGATTGCGATAGGAAAATTTAATACGAAGATATTTAATATCCTTTGCTCTTTTATTTGCAGTGTTATAAATTAAACTATGCCAAGCCAAGGCCTTCAATGATAAAAAATTTATAAACATTTTTCAAAAAAAAGGCGCACGCAGATTATACAAAAATTTGATAATGACAAATCTGGTCCAGTTAAGCTCGAGGAGTGGGAGAGAGAGAGCAATAATTTCACATATTATTTCCTATTCTTGTGATGCTCCAACATATCCTCCAGCATCGCCTTCACCTTTTCTGAGCAGACTGCCCGGTTCTTTTCTCGGGCCTTGGGGTCTGGGATCTAAAAATCATTGTCATAGCTTTTTGAATTTTTCCCGGCAAGGCAAGAACTTGTTCTGACATACCTTTGTCGCCACATAATTTGCTATCGGTCCAAACATGGCGATATTGACGAGGGCGTTGAACGGGTAGACCGAGTAGTAGTTGGATTTTAGCTAAATACACTTTTCGTCATGAAAGAACAATTATTACGCAGCGATATGGAGAGAGAAAGAGAGCGAGAGAGAGAGAGAGAGAGAGAGAGAGAGAGAGTCGTACCTTTTCCAGCGTGAATGGCATCTCCCTATCGTGCCCTAACGCCTCTCGGAAAGCGGCGTAGTACTTTTCCATCAGATCTTTCTCGCTAAAACGAACTTGGCGGGTGAGCAGCTTCAAGATACTGTTTTCTTCGATCCGCTCCTGACATGATTGTGATGAAAAATCGAGCCAGATCGCCGCCAGGTGCCGAGAGGTGAATTAACTATAAAGGATAGATTTCCGTCTCTTTAGCTGTTTCTCTCTCTCCCTCCCTCTCTCCCTCTCTCTCTCTCTCTCTCTTTCTCTCTCTCTCTCTCTCTCTCTCGTTACCTGAAAATCGATCAGCGCCTTCAAATCCTCGCCAGCAGTGTTCCACAAAATATTCGCGGACCACATATCACCGTGCGCCAATAGGGGCTTGATTCCTAAATACTCCTATGCAAAACTGTTTAATGTACACATTAACTGGGTGCTTTTTAAGGAATCTATTTGAATTATAACGTTTTCCACCACACCCCATCGTTCCGGTTCCGTGTCCAGCCTCTCCAAGTCATACACCTCGTCCTTCACGGCCAGTGCTTCATCGATAAGTTCTTGCAGCTCCGGGTAAGGCTCCTCCAGCGATTTGAACATGTCGATCAGGTTCTGTACGTATGTAAATAACTCTTCGAATGAAAAAAATAGATAGTACTTTGCGTTTTGCTGCAAAAACTCACCTTGCTCTCCATCATCTCCGCATACACCTTTCGGTAGTTGTTCTCCTCAAAGCACTTCAACTTCAAGAACTCGTCGGTGTACGTGTGGGCCTGTAGGCGAGCCCAGGCTTTGAGGGCCTGAAAAGGTCATAGGGACCCGGAATTCATGTTCAAAGAGGCTGGAAACTGCCAGAAATTACCTCACAATGGTGCTCCGGTTCTCTCTCTCTCTCCCTCTCTCTCCCTCTTACCTGCTCCGCCTTCTCCGGCGCTACGCAATCCGTCAAATTTTTCGTTAACGCCCTGTCCAAATATTCCATCAGCATGAACCCGTAGACGTCGTCGTCACCGGCAAATTCTCGGTGTCCGTAAATCTGGGGTACGGTAGAAAGGGTAGTCTTTAGCCTGTGTTACCTCAGGGATATGAAGCTCCTTTGCAGGCACTCCGGCCCCTTTCAAGTAGTCGTAGAATTCGCACTCGGCGTTGTGAATCTGAAAGGCAAGACAGTAATAGAGCGAGAGAGAGAGAAAGAGAGAGAGAGAGAGAGAGAGAGAGAGAGAGAGAGAGAGCTAGATAGAGAGATGACCGACTACCATTCTTGCCTAACCTACCGTCTTCACATACACTTGCCACTTTGCCAAGAATCGCGCCTCGTCCTCGGCCGTATGCTCCTTCATCGACCTGGCCATTTCCCGGCACTTGACGCATGTCGGCATTTTGAGAATAAACTCAAAATTTGGGCTGCGGTGTTGGGATTAAGCTAACTTATACCTTTTCTGGCAGACGGTCAGCATCTTCCGTCCACTTTGGCTCGATGAGACCGATGATGGAGATGAAACCCTAAAATTCGAGTGTTAGCGTTCCGGCTCAAGCTCGAGCCAACAATAAGCTGAGGCCACAATAAGCTGAGGCCAGGGATCATCCTAGCCGCAGGTATAAGCCGAACGAAGCTTAAATCTAAGCCTATGCAAAGCCTGAACCTAGCCCGCCTACCTTGCCTTCCGAAATATACGTCGCCGTCCAGTCATCTCCAAAACGGGCCTTTGTGTTGAAATTCTGAAGTCTTTCTAGTGATCCAAATTTTCTTGAATTACATGTTGTAATGCTTCTTCCACCAGCTCGCGGGTTACATGTGTTTTTAGGATGCCTGTTCCCTCTTCGGTAAGTGAGAGCATTCTAAAAATCGTTTATCGAGAAGCGAGAGAAAGAGAGAGAGAGAGAGGGAGGGAGAGAGGGAGAGAGAGACATCTAGAGTAACCAAGAATCTATCAAACGGCAGCCCATCAATATATATCAAGAATTTGGTGATGCGCCATAGTCTTATCACGGGGTCGGCGCGACCTCGTCACAAGATCAAATGTTACGCGCGCAGCAGCAAAAAGCGTTGCTTAATCGGGCAACCAGGCAACTATGGGGTCATTTTTCGTTCGGACTTCTAGCCTTTCACTTTTCTCAGGAAATCACAAAAACATGATTTTTTATCGTGATTCAATAGATTTTTGATTTCTGGGAAATTATGAATGCCGATTAAAATTTCATAAAAACATTTAAATTTCACAAGGATCAGAAAGGAAAACTGGTTGCGGCCAGCCAAAAATCTTCCGCCAGGAACACGTAAGCGCCTGACATGTAAGGATGAGTTGGAGCCTCCAACTTGGAGGTTGAAAATTGGACCCACGTGGAGCTTGAAAGGGAAATGGTCAGCGAAAAGAGCGCAACGGTCGGTTAGTCGGGGTCCATTTATTCCCTCTTTCCCCCAAGGGCGGCGATTGCACAACACCCGGCTCCCGTTGGTCAATCGGGACACACGAGGTAACCGCCGAATTAGCGAATAAATGCTTTGAACTTGTCGAAGACAGGTTAAATTTCAATATCCGTGCTACAGTAATCTAGATCCGTGATAAGCCGCCACCAGGAACCGAAAGGGCAAAACTCGCAACGTGATGACCGGACACCCGGTGAGTTATTAGTCAGCGGTGAGTAAACATTAGGCCGACTAGAGAGCTTGTTTGGGATCATTGACCGACGGCTCGCGGTGGCTAGGTAGAAAATTAACTTAGAAACACGTTTTAAATATCAAGCACTGTGCTCTGCCTTTAAATATGAAACGAAAACATACTAAACTCATTCGACACTGCCGCTTCGAGTTAAGTTATATACTTCAACCGATAAATTAAACTTTTCTGAATAGTAGGGATCCATACAAATCGATTTTCAGCAATCGATCTATCGCACGGGGCTATAAATAAAAATGACAGCACACTCTGCTTTTGGGCAATTATCGCCGCGATCTGGTTGGCTGGGGCTGGACCCGGGAAACGAGTATGAAAAGCTTGGTGTACAGGGTCGACTGAAACCCACGTACTTTAAATTTAGATTCTGCTTTGACAGTTGTTTGTCTAAATCAGGAATAGTGCGCATTGAGGGCGGCCCGTTCTGAGGGAGTGATAAGCCCATTAGGGCGCCTGATTGCTCGCTTATCCGAGTCAAGAGGGCAGCAAAAGGGCACCGGGGGTTTGAGGCGCTAGACTTTAGAGGGCAAAGTTGTTTAGGGATTTTAGTGGCTGAAATGCGGAAACGGCTGGATTTAATAGGTCGAGAATAGGTTTAGAAAAAGCTCAGAAAAAATAGGTTTACCAAGAGACAACCCCACAAAAAATCCTAGCAACTACACCAGCGCCTCTCAGGTGTCGTGCAAAACCTTTTCGAGCACTATTTCTGGCGCTCTTTCAGATGCATAGATCAAAACGATTTCGCACGGTTGTATTCTCGCCAAATCAGCATTGGAAGGTACAGCCAATGGGGGGAGGGCGGGGGAGGCCTAGTTGCAACTTCAAAAAATCGTGGCGATCACATCCGCGATGTTACCGCCAAGCCAGTTAGCACGTCGGAATTAGCATTTTAAGCCGGTCCGAATGAATCCGGAGCAAAATCCTCGAGCTTGATTGGCTGAAGCATTTTCAACCACGTGGTCCCCTTGCCCAAAACGGCAAAAATGAACCTCAAAATGGTAGCAATCACACCAGGCCCTCCCAAGTCTCGTACGAAACTTTTTCCGGCATTTTTTTGGTGCTCTTTCAGATGCAATTTGAATTCTGTGTTGAAAATGCCCGATCGGTGCCTGGCCTGGAGGTGCGGGGCACGGCCGAGGAGGGTGAGGACGTCCATAGTTGCCACTTTTAAAAATTGTAGCGACCACATACGCGACATTACAACTATGCCAGTTAGCACATCGGAATCGGCGTTTCAAGGCGGTTCGAATGAGTCCCGAGCGAAATTCTGACGAGGAATGGCTGACACGTAGAGATTATTTTCTTCTCCGGATCCGAGTAACCCAGCATTTTTTTAAAATATGGGATTTGTGCAGAATTACAAGCTTTATCGATAAAAAAAACAAAATAAATTGAAAAATGAGCGATGCCAAAGCTCAAGACTCCAGGAACGTCCTAAATACGACAGCTTGTTCACCAATTTCGTGTCAAAAACTCCTAAGCAAATCCACCTTCCCGCCCC